CTGCTGCCCCGCCTGCCCTCGCCACGTCCGCCGTTTGCGATCCCCCCCCACCTGCTGCCGCGCCTGCCCTCACCCCTCCCGCCGCCTGTGATGGCCCGCTCGACAAGGCCACGTCTACAGCCGTCCTCGAGCATGGTGTCAGCGGTGTCAGTAAGCGAACCACGCCCTCTTGCGCATCGGTTGGTGGAGTCATACGTGGCAGTGGCGCGCAATTTCCCGCGCCCTCTCTGGCTGTCGTCGCGGCGTCAACGTCGAGGATGTCTTCCGGTGCTGGCCGCCCTCCTGCGCGTCGTCTTTCGCTAGCATCGTCTATGCAGATGCCGCCACTTCCCCGCCTGGACAACTTCCGCTGCAACGCCATGTCGTTAGAGTCTTCGAAATTCGTCCCCTCCAGCGTCGCCACGTCCTCCGGCACCCACTCTTCATCCAGCATGTAACCTCCATGTGTCGGGGCGCCTTCGAGGATCTTCCTCTTCTTGCTGGCCATGTGGCGGCCCTTCTTCTCCCAGGTCGGCGTTTGTTGTGAGAGGTTGGCAGCGGCCTTGCCGCGTGCGGAAGCGCGTCAGGACATGACGCAGGACGCACCCGCGGTGACGATGACAATCTGGACGACGAAGGCGAGGATCTACGGAAAGGCGACAATGGCGGTGAAGACGACGGGCGAAAAGACGTGCTCGCCGAGGAGAATGTCGCCGAAGATGACTGCAAAGAAGACTTAAGCAGTGAAGATAACTACGTTGGCGACAGACGCGGCGACGATGGCGATGACGGCGGCGATGTTGAACAAAAAGGCTCGATGGCGACGATGGCGACGAAAGCGCGGATGCAGGCTACGAAGGCGACTAGAGTGGCGCAGACGACTACGACCAAAAGCAGAACAAGCGCGGCGGGCGGCAGGGACTGCGTGAGGTAGAGAGAGAGAGAGTGTTGTCGTGCATTTGCGCAGAACGCTCGCATCCTTATAAACACGTGTCACGTGGGGTGGACAACAGCACAGACGCAGCGCGAAGGCCAGCCGAGGGTCATTTCCAAGCTCCACAAAAAGACAAGAAAAACGCAGGGTCATCGCGGCGGGCGAGACAAAAGGCAAAGGGTCGCGGGCAACGCGGCCGTGCACCCGTTGCGCCACCGCCCTTCGTCTCGCCTCCCCTCGTCGATTGTGGACACGGAGGGACCCCACAGGCCGAAATTATGCCCCCTTTAACGACTCCATCCCACTCTACCATCGTCCACACTCCATGCCAGCCATGAACGAGGACCAAACTTCCTCCTACCGTGGAAAGCCGCGAAAACCAACCCCCGCCCGCATTCCCTCCCCCCCCCCCCCCCCCCCCCCCCCCCCCCCCCCCCCCCCCCCCCCCCCCCCCCCCCCCCCCCCCCCCCCAACCGCCCCCTACCCCGACCCCCCAACATGGCATGCATATTCGCCTGGACGGGTTCAATATTCCCCCTCCCGAACTCCGAAATAAAGCACCCCGCCCGACTATCTACGAGATAACGAAAACAGGTAAATAGACCAACACAAAACACACAACACAACGTGCATTTCGTACAACTGTCATGACTCGACATCCGCTATTGGGGGGGGAGTTTGATCGAACCCAAGTAGGCCTGTACTCAATCGACGACTAATTGGGTGTATGCACAACATTACCAAATGCATACCCAAAAAAGGACGGCAGCACAGACAACACCTTCATGGCACCATTGCATTTTATTTCTGGAGAATACACCGAAACACACGCTGGAGAGAAAGAGGGAGCCGATTTCGATTGAACACAAAAAATCCGAAAAATAACGGCATTAAAGACAGCACCTTTATTACACCTCTGCATTTCATTTACGGCAAAGACACAAAGAAACGCGAGAGCGAGAGAACGAAATCGATGTCGTCATGTAAAAAAGGAAAGTGCATACTGCACTTCATCGATGCCGATTACAATTCAGAGTTGACGGTATCATCCGTCCCGTCACACGATCGAGGCCAACAACAGACGAAACGAACAATGAAAACATTTTTAAAAACATTTTTAAAAACATTTTTAAAAACATTTAAAAATATATATATTTTTAAAAACGAAAACAAATTTCACTGAAGGACTCATACACCGAATCGGACCAGTACCCAATTCCTTGGCCAGCACCGCCATTGGGGGAACGGCACATCGACGACGACGGCGATGGCAAAGCTAAGCTACATCGACGACGGAAAGACTATCACTTTTGCTCCGTCCAATTCCCCGCAAGCGAACAGAGAGCACAACAGAGGCGACACTAAGTCTAACGTTTGCCGATGGCCTTCGCTATCTCCAGCAAGGCGTGACACATTAGCTTGTTGACTTCGTCTGACGCTGCGTAGTGCTTTTTCCGCACTTCGATCTCCGCATCCAGCGCCTCGCACTGACGTATGGCGATGGAGCAATGACGTTTGCTGTTGCTCTCCATCGTTGACGCCATTAACGCCCCGTGCTTCTCCATGCTTTCCGGCATTGCCTCAAATGTTTGCTGCCTTGTGCTCTTCCTCTTGCCGAAACCGCCTGCGCCACCTGTCATCTGCGAAGAACCTTTGGTGGACCCCTCGTCGTCGTCGTCGTGCTCTACACCACCGTCCCCATCGCCCACAGATTCAGGATCCGCAGAGGAGGCGGATGGCAGACGCACACCACCCTAAGCGCCAGTGTCCACGACGTTCTTCGGGTTTATGGTGTGGTTCTTGGCGGTCGACCCCAGTATCTCGTCGTAAACCGCACGATCCATATTGAAACTGAAGCCCTTTGACATCCTGTCCTTCCCAGACAATTGGAAGAAGTCCTGTTTCCCCGACAGTCCTTGGAAATGATGAACCTTCTTGAACCACTGCATCAGATTGTCCCACTTCTTCCCGCACCGATCGGCCTCTCTATCGACGCCCACCTTCTTCAACCTCGTCGCCACATCCAGCCACTTCCATTCTTGCGGATTCATCCGAGCGTACGCGTGGCCCATCCCCTGCAAATGCGCATCCTGATTACGTTTAGCCCAGATGAGGGCTATAATGTCGTCGACGGACCAGAAGTGACGACCTCCTTCACCATCGACCTTCGGCATCGCTGCCCTTGCCTACCGTCCTTTTGCCCCGACGACCATTACCGCCACACGACTTTGTCTTCCGCCCCCTCCCTCCCATAGCGGCCGCCTGCTTCGACGGCGAAATGTAGCCTGTGTCGTCCTCCCCACCTTCAGCGTCGTTGTCGTTCCAGTCGGGGTCGTGCGCGTCCCCCACTGCTTCTTCGTCGTCGTGTCCGTCTTCCCCAACTCGCAATCGCTGCACCCCCCGAGTTATGGACTCCTCCCGCACCGACCTCATCAACCGTCGCTGTTCTGCCCACACCTCCCTTCCGTCACGTGCGTCACCAACATCAGCAACGGCAGGCGCCGTCTCCCTACACTCGCCAACACGACGACCTGCACTCGAACCGGCGGACAGGGGAGACGGAGACTGCATCCACTGGGGTCGAGCAGAGGCACCCCTACACAAAGACGACGACCGAAATTGCTGCCTAGGAGGATCCTTGTTGTTCCCCGAAGCCTCCCGCAGCGGCGCTGGAGACCTGGGTGATCGTTGAACAGCCGTCACGTCACCACCATCGTCGTCGGGATGGGAGTTTACGACGACCGTTCGAGAGACGGCTGCCGACCTCCCACTGCCGAGTCCAAACGACAGATTCACGCCGCCATTGCCACCGGTGTCGCTGAGCCCCTGCTGGAGGAGCTCGGTGTACGACTGCCCTTTACCGCTGTCACGGCTTCCAAACAGCTCTGTAGCCGCCCACTCCTGGGTGGATCCGCTTCCCAGCGGCACGGTCCGTGACCGTCTATCGTCCCCTTCCTCGTCGTTTGTGTCAGGCAGAGGTTGCAAGTGCGGTGGCAGGTGCGCGTGCCCGGACCGCTCCGACGGCCTTGGACTATTCGACGGGCTGTGCCCGGACCACCGCCCACCGCGCTCCCCTGCGGACCCGCTGATCGCCTTCCGGCCCTCCATTCTGTCGTTGTTCTTCACACACCTCCTTTTGCGACCACGTCGCGGAAGGCCGCCGAGGATGCACACGTGGAAGACAACCAGGAGGAGGAGCAATAGGACGACCAGCAGCAGCAGCGGCAGCCTCCGAAAGACGTCGGCCATGAAAAGCACGTGGATGAGAGTGGCAGCTAGTAGACAACGGGGGATCTATCACGTAACGGTGACGGACACTGCTGCAAACGCCTGACCGCAACAAACGACAAAAGCACGGTAACGCATTCCGTTTGTGAACACATTGCACAATCGCCCGGCCGAGGGACGGTTCAAATATTCGAATCTTGCGACCGTTGGGCGCCTTCCCACTCGGGGACAAGGGCGGCGACGCAAGAAAGCCGCTTTTCGACGTCGGGGAAGCGATCGGGCCACAAGAGGGGACCGTTGGCGCACTCTTCCATGACGCCGACCGTTGCCGATCGAAGATGTCCGTCCACGGGCGCCAGGAACAACAGTGGTACAGACGGCCGTCGCAAAATGTCGTCGAGAGACCTGCCGACGACGTCCCGATTCTTCCGGATGCTCGACCTCCGAGGGACCTCGGGAGGTCCCTTGGGGAACGCGTCGAAATGGCTGTGGCCCGAGGAATCCCCGAGGAAATGTTTTCACAATTTTTTTTTCAATTTCTTCCCCGAGGATAAGTGGAACGATCATTTCCTCGGGGGATTTACGCGCCCGAGGAGTGTGGAACGAGCCCCTAAAAGAAAAAACAAATCATCGTTGGGTATGCTAGCAGTGGTGATAGGAGCAGCCTCTGGTAGCACCCCGAAGCTGAGGGCTTCAGTCTATCGGTGAGTTGCAGCTGTTGGAAAATAGATCCAATGTCCTTTAATGGGGACACTGATGATAATGATGAGAAAATGAGGAGGATAAGAATCTGCATCTTCAACCTGCAATTGGGATCCAGATAACACCTATCTACTTAGCAGCCCAATTGTCCTCAATCCTACCATTCATGCAAATGGATATGTGACACGTGCATGGTCGGCAATCTGACCACCCCTTTCCTTACGTTTCCTAACATTTGTCTTTTTATGTCCGTCGAACAGGGGGTAACCCTTCATGAAATCAAAAGGTGTTCGGTTAAAGTCTGTGTAGCACAGCTTACGCGTACATGGGCTCCACGTACCCCCGCACACGCATGCACGTATGTGCGTATGTATCACATACGTGCGCGCGCGTACGTCTCTTCAAGGCCCACAAACGCGGTCGCAGCGGGCCATGTCTGAGGTCCAGGTGTGTGTGTGTGTGTGTGTGTGTGTGTGTGTGTGTGTGTGTGTGTGTGTGTGTGTGTGTGTGTGTGTGTGCTTGTGTGTGTGTGACTCGGTGTGAGAAAGCGAGAAAGAGGGAGGATTTAACCGCATTGTCGTTGTTCTGCTCATCCCCATCGTCGTCTCCCTCCTGCACATCGTCCACCACCTTCCCTTCTCCTCTTTCTTCTACTCCTCTCTTGCTACGTGTTTTCTTTTTTTTCAATTTTTTTTTTTTCATTGCACTGCGAAGTTCGAACATTCGAACGTCCTCATCTCCCCACAGTCATATTGATTCTGCCATCATCTTTCTCCCCACCGTTGTCTTCCTCCGCCATCTCCTCCACCTCCCCATCGCCGTCCTTCTCCTCCTCCTCCCCATCGTCGTCTCACTCCTCCATATCCTCCCCCACGTCCCCATCCTCGTCTTCCTCCTCCTCCCCATTGTCATTTTCCTCCCGCTCCTCCCCGTCGTCATCTTCCTCCCGACGCTCCTGCTCTTCCATATCGTCATCCTCTTCCCCGTTGTTATCTTCCTCCCGCTCCTCCTCCCGCTCCTCCTCCACCTACCTCCTCGTCCTCCCCATCGCCGTCTCCCTCCTCCTCCTCGTCATCTCCCTCCTCCATATCTTCCTCCTCGCCGTCATCGTCTCCCTCCCCCTCCTTCCCGGTGTCGTCTTCCTCCGCCATCTCCTCCTGGCTCCTCCCCGTCGTCTTCGACCTCCTCACGTAAATTAAATACGTTTGGATATACATAAAACAAAAAAACATTAAATATAAAATGTGTACGCATGCACACGTTTTCAGGTACGTACATGGTGTACCCACGTTAAAGTGTATGTTTTATTTCATCGCATTTTATGATCATTTTGCAGAGGTTGGCACCCGGTACCCACAGCCGCACCCACCTGCCCCACCCGACCCACAAAGTGATTGGGTTGGGTTAGGGTCTACCTATGCCTTTCTGGGTGGCTGATGGGTGCATGCAGCTAGTGGGCATTTCTGGGTCATGGGCGGGTCAACATTTGCTCTGGGTCACACATCAGGTGGGTGGATGACAGGTGGGTGAAGCGTTGGCCTGGGTCACCCGGCCGATAGACCCAGGCACGTACAATTGTCAAGGTTGGGTCACGGGTGAGGGGGAAAAAAAAAATGACCACCTCTGTCATTTTGGTTATGTCAATGAATGAATCAGAACGATATCGCCCATAAGTCAGCATTTCTATTGAACTATTGTCTTTGAGGAGGTTTATGTTTTCCGTCATCATACTGAAGTTCAAACTTGTAAGATTTTGAGTGACTTGCCGATGTAACATTGTACTCAAGAAAGAATGGAAGGAGTGAACAGCAAATTAGCTCAGTGGGTTGAGCATCGGTTGGAAATGTGCATTGTGGTTCAAGGTCGTGGGTTCAAAACTCTGCAGCCTCATGCATGAGCACCAGCGGGCTTTGACCGACGCATGGCTGTTCGCCCACTCCCTTCGGGCTGGTGCACGGCTGTTCGCACACTCCCTTTGGGTTGGTACGTGGTAAGCACTACAGACACTGCCTGTACCACCCAAGGCCCAAGGGATTTAGTCCATGGTTGTCGTATCTTGGGGTCTCGACTCTAGACTATGACTGGTTTGCCCATTGTCATTGGTTCGTGTGTTGTTCTGATGATTGCCCACTTGTAGTGTGGACCATAAAACAATTTGAAAAGTTACTGTAGTTGTCATGCCATGGTAGCTCAGTGGGTTTGTGCTAGGGGCTGTAGAGATGAGGTTGTGGGTTCAAATCTGATCAAGCAGAGGCAGATCACACTTGTACGGAGATAGCAGGAATTCGGGCAGGAGGGATATTAAGAAGAGATAGATCACACAAGTTGGCTACTTTAGGCCCTTAGGGCTCTGCATAGGGGGGTCAGAGCCGCAAGGCGGAATGATTAGGGGGGTTCCATTAGAGGGGGGATTAGGTAGGAGAGTCCTGGGGAGGTCCTTCCCGGGGAACAAATCCGGAATGAGCCCAGCGAAGTGGAGGATGAGAGGTAAGAGGGATAATTGGTGGAGAGCGCCCACACCAAAACCTTTTCTGGTCTTGGCCGCCTGAACTTTTCCCGCGTGGTAAAAAGCGCCTAGTACCAGAAAATGAATCCGCCGTGGATACAATATCTGGTAGGAAGGGGTCCAGCAGTTGGGGCCCAATCTTGGCCGCCAGATTTCTGCATCCGGCGGCCTCAGTTGCACGTGGTCGCTTTCTATCAAGCGGGAAAAGTTCAGGGCCCCCAAAAGCAGAAAGGTGTTGCCGTGGGGGCGTTCCACCAACTATCCCGAGGTAAGAGGAACGGTGGGAGGCCTAGTACGTACTGATGATCTGACACCGGTGCAAGATAACTCGAGAACGAGGGGTAATAGGAATGGCTGGAAGCCTCGTACGTACCAGCACCCTGAGTCTCAGACCGGTGCTGTGTGGGATGAGGACTCCAGGGGGAAATTGCAGTTGGGGATCCCTTAGGGATGGAGAGTGGTACAACCACAATACTGCAACTAGGGAGGAGTCTATGGGGAAGTCCATAGGTAGAGGTGCGGATAGGGGGCCATACATCTACTCATAATTCGCTAGAACCTCTAGGTTGTGATTACAACAGCAGCGACGCATACAACAAACAACCTAACAACTTAGCAGGGGTATAGGAAGGGGTCCACCCATGGGACTAGTAGAAGAACGTCTATACCTAGCGCCCGAAGTACTCGTGCGGTGCAGCTCGTAGGAATATGCTTCCATCAGGGCTAAGTGGGGTACTAAGCGGGGCCCTCTGCTTACCGCTGGTGCCTAAAACCGCTCTCCAGTCGAGTCACCCCTGTTGAAATGATTAGAGGGTGACAATGCTGTGTGGAGGACACTGAGGTAGGATCGTGGGAGTAGCCGTGCGCCAGCCTGGGATAAATGATGAACGGGGTTGGTTTGAAGGGAGTCCCATAAGGAATAGGGACCTATGTAGCTCATCTGGGTAACCACATGGCCTCGTACCAAAGGTGACTGTCGTACACCTGGTATCCAACCTCTACAACAACCTGGGCTTTATTTAAAAAAAAAGAAAAGGGAAGGGCCCTCAGATGTCCATTTTATTTTTGGTGAATTGTATTGTTCCTTTTCAGAAAGCTCCCATAAAGGAGAAATAGTATGCTGGATGGATAGTGGTCCGATCTTAGGGCTTGACCGGCGATGTCTCGCCCTTCGATGGGGCCACCTACCTTTTGTGAGGGATGCCAGGCCCGTTTCCTGGCTTATTGAAATATAAGGGACGCTGGGCCCGGTTCCCGGATAAAAAAAACAAATATTTTGTAAATTGTCTTGGAATTGCAAACCCTCTTTAAAATATCACAATATTCGGGTAAAACCAGATATAGTTCTGGTTTAACCATGGCAGCTGAACGAAGGGGGAACATTGGTAAGATATCCCTGTCCTCCTCATTCCTACGTTTACTGTACGAGCGCCTGGAACGAGTGAGCAAGCATCCGAAGCTGGCATTCCGAATTCGCACATTCAAGAGCATTCACCGGTTTATCACCCTGCTGGGCCCAAAATATTTGCTCCCGCCAGCAGGGGTTGCGCGCCCAACCCCACAGCTCCATGCGGGTGAGGTCGTGTCCCAAGCTAACTGTTATATACCCTCAATATACCCAACCCCCTCCATCCCTCCCCGCTGATCCAGCCACGCCTTCCTCGCTGCGTCAGACGAGGCTAAGTAAGAAAGGTGAGGCCCTGTTGACTAGTGACTGTGGCGGTACAGGGAGAAAATCTGGGACGGCAAATTATGAACAGAGGACGGAAACAGACGAGGCTCAGTAAGAAAGGTGAGGTTGGGTTTTTTTATGGACATCCTTTTCAGTACGCGCCCATTCGGGATGTAATCGATGGG